CATGCACGATTTACTAAATACAACTAAATAGCACTATTTAGTTTGTACAGTTGCACGGTTTAAGTGCGATCACTCTATTGTGTAGTGCCGTTGTGTTGTTCCTGTGAAATCTTGATACTACAGTAAATACACATATGCATTAATGAGCATCGGTGTTCCACAGATGGAATTTATTGTTGCTAACAAAACGTTTGATTTTAAAGGAAATTATTGCTAATTTAAAAGAGCTTGCACAAGATACRTACGGTCGTAAGGTGCTGCTCTACCTGCTGATGCCCAGAGCTGCTGCGCACTTCCATCCTGACATTGTTAAATTGTTAGAGAAAGGGGATGATAACCCAAATAGGTATGTCACATCTATTGCTTGACTCTTAACCTTTTCCTTGTCAGTTGTATCGGGAGGGATCCGGGGGGGCTGTAGAGGGTGCGTTTCCCCCCTGAGACCGTAGTATACTTCATTACTTTCCCTTAAGGTGGAGAAATACGAGATGCAAAAAAAACGACTTACATGTATCACACAACATTCAAATTAAGCTACAGCATATACAGCATTTCTCGTTTTTTCATGATCTGTTTTTTTGTTATTGCGCGAAAAAGTTTCCATTGCTTCCAGTAAACTTGAACAACAACAATGTTGCGGTCCTGACAAGTTATATCTCCTACTTCTTAGACTTTGAATGTATTTTTCAATGTAGTCATTTGTTTATTCTGTTCAATAGTAAAAAAGATCCAGAACAAAGAAGAAAAGAACTGCTAGATGGCATATCACCAAGTCTTTTGGAACTAGTCAAGGATCACGGTGAAGAGTTGATGATGGACAAAGGCAGCTGTCAGCTTGTCATTGCAATACTGTCAAAGTGTACTGGTATGAAAAAATGCATAATAAATTAGTAGTGTTTTCGGACTAGATTTTTGTTCTGGCCGTAATACAATACAATAAATGTTTACATTGAAAAGTACCAGTAGATATTCGGCTTTTTGGAACAATTTTTATTCAAAGTTTGTCCGCCATGTTTTGTTTTCAATGTAAAGGACCATTGTACTCCAGCATCCCTTTTGAGCTTTTGCTTATGATTGAAAATAAAAATGCATCGCGTCATATAAGCAAATCTCACTCTTTTGTCCTTTTATGCTCTATGGATGGAGATATTGTGAGATTCAACCTTTAAACGGACATATGGAAACGGACTGTGAATGGATATTCGAAGTCATCTCTTTTTCCATATTTGAAAAATCATGACCGCATTGAACTCTGGTGTACCATGGTCCAACTGAAGTTCTTTAATCCATGTAATATTTGATGTTCATCTGACAGGAGATAAGACCGCAGCCATGACAGCCATAGCCGAGGCTGCAAACAAACACTTTGATCCTTCAAAAGATGATGAGGTAAGTACTRAACGGGATTTTCTTTTGAGTGTAAAAAATAACTGCTGTATAGCTACTTTTGACATCAATGATGATGTTGATAATAAAAGTCATCATCATAATCATAATTTTAATCATGATGATGATAATAAGACTTATATGGCGCT